CAGCATCTGGGGAACAACCTGCCCCGTGTTGCACTGACCCAAATGTAAAACCCTCCCTGTGCCGTTTCCTGGGGCGGCGCTCGCTACGGCCAGAGCTGGTGCCGTGACAGCTGCCTTGTTTCACGTCTCCCAAGTCTCTGTCAGACACGGGCCTGGTCCCAACCTCGCCGAGAGCCAAAGCCACTTAGGGTAACGCTCCCTAGGTTCGATGGGCCTAGTCCCTAGGGTTTGCTGAAGCCAATCACCTTGGGGTGGATCTCCCCCGAGACAGGGGGCCTGGACTCATGGAGATCTATCCACCACCTTGCTGAGGGGGTGGGTGGGGACAGCGTTGGTGCTATATCTCGGGGGCAGGGTTTCTCCCACGGAAGAGCAGGATGTGGGGGCAGGCCGAGTACCCTGAGGTGCCTTGAAGATGTGCGAGATAGAAGCACCCTGGGGTGAGTCTTCAGTACAGCTGCTGCCTTCAGTCTGCCAGTGCCTTCCTCCAGCCAGTGCGCCCTGCGCCCCGCTGCTGTTCCCTGCCGCTTGGTGTGTGGTGTGCCACTGTGGGTGAGGCAGCCTGTGCCTGCCTTCCCCTTTGCTCTGGGACTACCAAGCCACGGTACAGGCTGCTGGCAGACGGAGGGTTTCCTATCTGGCTGCACAGCCTGGGGCTTGCATCTAGCTGGGGGCAGGCCCTGGGCAAGAGAGGGGCTATCCAACTCCCTCTCCACAGTGCTGGAGGAAGAGGAAGCTCCTCCAGAGGAGCAGGGTGAGGTGATGGCTGCGGGCTAACCCTCTGAGCCTCCCCATGGGCGGGAGAGGAGGAGCAGCAAGGGGGATGCACCTGTAAGGGGCCAAGAACCATGGAGAACGGGCAGCTGAGGGCGACTTCTCCTTGTGAATCTTAACACGGCCTGGGGGAGGAGCAGTGGAAGGCCCAGGGTCCAGTAGAAATGTGGGACGCTCAGCTGCTGTGTGACGGGTCTGTGGGATATCTGGAGACTGAGGCCCCTGGGGTCTAGGTGTGCAAGGTAGCTGCGGAGTGGTGAGCTGGAGTGTCAAGGACGCTCTTAGGGGTCAGGCCTGCCAAGGGGAGTCAAAGGGGACAACTTCCCCGGGGCCCAGCGATCCAAAGAGCCAGGGGCTTCCGGTGCCACCACTGCTACTGCAGTGGCCTGGGCCCTTTAAACCACCGCCAGAGCCCAGCGTGGCATGTTGTGGGTGGTGCTAAGGGCTGGATGGGGGTGTGTGGCATAGTCTGGGTGGCATATAGGATTGGCTGTCCTCAGCCCCGCCCCCTTATCCAGGGCCCCAGCATTCTGTCCCCCTCCATTAGGGTAGTTACATATTTCTTGGGGTGTGTGTGTGTGTGTGTGTGTCATATTTCAGGGCTGGGGAATATCTGGGAACCGAGCGTAGCTGGGACACGCATTTTACATGCAGTAAAACATCTGGGCTAAGTCTAGACTGGCATGATTTTCCACAAATGCTTTTAACGGAAAAGTTTTCCGTTAAAAGCATTTTCAGAACAGAGCGTCTAGATTGGCACAGACGCTTTTCCACAAAAGCACTTTTTGCGGAAAAGCATCCGTGCCGATCGAGACGCGCTTTTCCGCAAAAAAGGCCCAATCGCCATTTTCGCCATTGGGGCTTTTTTGCGGAAAACAAATCTGAGCTGTCTACACTGGCCCTTTTGCGCAAAAGCTTTGCGCAAAAGGGACTTTGGCCCGAACGGGCGCAGCATAGTATTTCCGCAAGAAGCACTGATTTCTTACAGTAGGAAGTTAGTGCTTTTGCGGAAATTCAAGTGGCCAGTGTAGACAGCTGGCAAGTGTTTCCGGAAAAGCGGCTGATCAGCAAGGCCTGCTTGCCCTGGTGAGCAAGGTTTTGTCTGTGCTAGGGTTAGATCTGGGAGGTTGTGGGTTGGGGAATGGCAGTGTGTTTGTGTGACATAGTGCAGTGCTTTGTGTGCTTGTGTGGGTTGCCAGGTGTCCGATTTTGAACCGGACAGTCCAGTATTTGAGCTTTCTGTTTGGGGAAACAAATGGAGAAAAAAGAACTGAGACAATAGAACTGTCCGGTGTTTTCCAACTCTGATGGAATGTCGATTGTGATGGAATGTCGATTGTGATGGAATGTCGATTGTGATGGAATGGCAAGCGTGTCCCGTATTTTTGTTGAAACCATCTGGCAGCCATATGTGCGTGTGGGTTGTTCCTCATCGGATGCACATCTCTGGGCTGAGCGCAGTCTGCAGCTGACCTGCAAAGTCTCAGGTGTTTAGCAGGAGCCCCCCTGGAGTGAGCCGGAGGGCTGGTTCTCAGGTAAATCAGATGACTCCCTCAGTAGTGACAAGGCGGCCCCGTGTCAGGGGCCCACGTGGGCAGCTGACACTGTGCCGGGGGTGGGTGCACCGTGGTCACAGCAAGGCCTCTCTCAACAGGAGAGCTTTGCTCATGGCTGGGCTTCCAGGCTTTCCTACACTGGTTTGCACTAGGGCAGCACCAAGTCTAAGCACAGCAGTGCCATGGAGCTTGCTTAGAGACCCTTCAGCCTGCACGGACAAGATAAATCAAATCCAGGACAGCTTCCCCCAGACAAGCTCTCCCCTTCCTCTCCTCCAGCCACGGGCCCCAGCCCACTTGCTCTGCCACAGCTTCCCAGGCAACAGTGCTTACAGGGAAGGGCTCGTGTGGCCTCACCTGGCCCTACACTCGTTGCTCTACTTCCCCCTCCGCACCCTCCCTGCTTCCTCTTTGTATTTCTCGGTGTGTGTAACCCACACACCTTCTGGGTGGAGGGCTCTGTCTTGTCCGCTAGCACTGAGCCCACTTACAGCGAGGAAGACTGAGTCTGCTCTACAGCTTTGGCTCATGCACTAGCTCCAGAGGTCCCAGGTTTGGTTCCGCCTGTTGGCGTTACGCGAGCCCGAGGCTCAGAAAGGAAATCTCACTCTGGACATTTCCCTTCTGGCAGGCTGGTCTCTGCTTGGCCGTTGATCTAAGGTATTTCTTTTCAGCACGATGTCGTCTTCCTCCAGCACAAACGTCTCCTCTTCCTCCTCCACTTGTGTAAGTGACAATGAAAGTAAAATAAACCTCTTACTCGGCACCAGCTCCTCCGACCTGCTCCCAGGGCCACATGCTGAAGATTTCGCCAAGGAGCTGTCCTGCCCTCTGTGCCTGGAGTGGTTTAAGGGGCCAGTAATTTTGCCTTGTGGCCACAACCTCTGCAAAACTTGTATTGAGGATGTTTGGGGCAAGGAGCAAGTCCGCCTCTGCCCCGAGTGCCGAGCAGAGTGCCCGGACGGGCAATACATCAAGAACATCGTGCTGGAAAAACTAGTGGAAAAGATCAAGGGCTTTCACGTGGGGAAATACCAGCAAAAGTGCAGCGAACACGGGGAGCCGCTCAAGCTGTTCTGGAAGACGAACGGGAAGCTGGCCTGCTTTCTCTGCAGAGATGCCCAGAACCCCGAAGATCAAGCCTCCCAGTTCCTCCTCCTCCCGGACGCAGTGCAGCTCTATGCGGTGAGGCTGAGTGAAAGGCTCTCTGTTACGTCAGCACGGTTCCCAGAGAGACTCTGCCACCGAAGCAAAGGTGGAGCCCTTGCTAACCGGCGTTGACAATGCTCGCTCGTTTTTTCTAAAGTCTTGCCCTATTAGATAGTCCTGGCTCTTGGAATTCTGTGGTCGTGTGAGCTTCCAGCTTTCTGTTCAAAGCCACAACAGGTTCCTAGCCTTTATGGTTGTGACGAAGCGCTTGAAAGCATGACCTAAGGGAACCCAAAAGGCTCCACAAATTCAAGATTTGAATGAAAAGAACCAGAGATTATTATTATTATTATTTTATTATTAAAACACCCATCAAGCCTTACCCTGGGGCAGGGCTACTCAGGCAGGCCCGGGCTTTAAAAAACATGTCCATGCTCCAGATGGCGCTAAGGATTGACTGCCCTCAGCCACATCCCTTCTGCCTGAGGCCCCGCCCCTTCCGGGGCGCAGAGCCATGCCCCTCCACACCTTGGACTCGCGGTATAGGTCCTGCTGCTAACAATACAACTCTACAGTTCAAAGCCCTAGTTTGTCTACCATGGATTGAGCCTAATTACCATTCCCATGCTTGGTAATATGTTGCAAAAGGTGGGATATGGATCGCGACACTCACTAATTGCATACCTCTTGCTGGCTCAGTGCCACCGAGGAATGCAAAGCTCCTCTATTACTATATTGGCGGCAAAAGCAAAGGGATGTGAGAGAGATCCTGGCTGAGGAAGTGGGTTTGTGTTGAATTATTCAAGCTTGCCCAGCCAAACGTCTTTCTCCCATTTCTGTTTAGAGCTCTCTCGTTAACTGTTGTGCAGTGATTAAGATGCTACCGGCCGTGGCTGGTATCTCTCCAGGGCAGTGAGCTCTCCTGAAAGATGGGCAGTAGGAATGTCCCTTTTGTATGGCCTTGGGGATGGAGGGATGGGGATGGGGGAGAGTGAGGTGGAGCCATAAGGTGGTGCCTCGCTGGGCTCAGGAGGCAGCGTGTCTGCTGGCCTATTCCTGGAGACATTCACGGGGATGGAGTCGACAGAATGCATGGTGCCCTTCTTAAAAAGGAAAGGGGCAGACTGCACTGACCCACAAGGATGGGTTCTCTCATCTTGGTAGCCTGGGTTTGGAGGGCTGCAGCAGCCATCAAAGAGAGTGACAACCATCTTTTAAAAGAGAGTGACAACCTACGATCAGCACTAGGCTCTGTAGTCATGGGCTAGCGTCTCTCTTTCTTCAGCCACCTAAACACTGACCTATTTCCTGCCCTTTCCATCGATTACAGAGACTAATCTAAGTGCCACTGATGCCCTAAATCCCAATTGATCTCCAACATAACACCTGGAAAAGGGCAGGAGCAAAGTTAGCTCACGTTAGGCCCAACTTCCAAACATCCGCTCACGTAAATAGCTAACTAGGTCACAGCGCAGTGCCTGTGTTTGCCGCACCAACAGGAGAAGCTGGTCTCCACCAGAACACAGCTGGAGGCCATCGTGCAGCAGCTAGCGATGCTGAAGACTGCTCAGCAAGAGAAGATCTCCTGTCACAAAGTGAGTTGTGGTCCTTGGAAGGAACCTGATCTTAATGCGCCTCGTGGCGTTTTTGGTGAGACCAGGGGCTTTTTATTGGAGCAAAGAGTCTAGAGCAGTGTTTTCTTAAACTTTTTAAGACCAAGGAACACCAAACAATATTTTTTTATGAGGAACACCAAGGATTCTTTGTTGAGGAAAAAAAAAAGGGTCGGGGGGGAACTTATTGAGGGGAAAAAAAAAGGTTGCCATTTTAAACTCTGTTGTTCTCGCGGCACACCTCCAACTGCCTCATGGCAGGAACACAGTTTAAGAGACACTGGTGTAGAGCGAGTAGTCAGCTGATGACTAAGAACACAATGATGTGCAGTCAATATGGGGAATGTACATATTAATTGAAATGTGCCTGCATTCAAAATATCCTTTGCTACATGGGCATTCAAAGAAAAAAGCACCTGGAGAGAACTTTATTGGCATTGCCCACTATGTTCCTCAATAACCCACTTCACAGAATCCAATATGTATTTTGGGCATCATAGAAATGTAGGGCTGCAAAGGACCTTCAGGGGCACAGAAATCCCAAAGGTCTGGTCTGGATAAGTCTGAATAACATCTGGGCTACGTCTAGACTGGCATGATTTTCCGGAAATGCTTTTAACGGAAAAGTTTTCCGTTAAAAGCATTTTCGGAACAGTGTGTCTAGATTGGCACGGACGCTTTTCCGCAAAAGCACTTTTTGCGGAAAAGCGTCTGTGCCAATCTAGACGCGCTTTTCCACAAAAAAGCCCCAATCGCCATTTTCGCCATCGGGGCTTTTTTGTGGAAAACAAATCTGAGCTGTCTACACTGGCCCTTTTGTGCAAAAGTTTTGCGCAAAAGGACTTTTGCCCGAACGGGAGCAGCATAGTATTTCCGCAAAAACACTGACAATCTTACATGAGATCGTCAGTGCTTTTGCGGAAATTCAAGCGGCCAGTGTAGACAGCTGGCAAGTTTTTCCAGAAAAGTGGCTGATTTTCCGGAAAAACTGGCCAGTCAAGACACAGCCCTGTAGTCTGGCAGACAAGGATCTGTGTAAAGCAGATTCTGCTATCCTCTAAGAAGATATAAATGGTATCACAGGATACACTGGCAGGTATAAGGCATGAAGCAAGTGATTTGTCGCTTGAGCTTTATGGGCTGGTAACGGTTAGTTATGGAGTCCGTGTTTTCATCTGATGCTGCTGAGTATGAGATATTTGCCCTGTTTAACAAACTGTCTGTGTTTTACAGAAGAATAAATTTAATCTTCAGCAGCACATTTCCTTAGAGTTTCTGAAGCTCCACCAATTCCTTCACGGAAGGGAGAAAAGATTAATGAATGAGCTGCAAGAGGAGGGGAAAACTCTCCTCCTAGAAATGGAGGCGAATCTAAACAAGCTCCAGGAAAAGTGGCACCGAGCCAAGGAGACGGTCTTACGCATTCAGTCCCGGCTCTACCAGCACACTTCTATCAACTTCCTTACAGTGAGAAATCCTGACTTAAACTCTAGTGCAGACTGGTGGAGTAATGATTTGGGGAGTGTGAAATTCTATCTGAGGAGGATATGGGAGGGAGAACTAGAGAAATCACCATCATTGGTTTCTACCTCCTTATTTCTAACACCAGCTGATCCCTAATGCGAAGCTTTAAAATATTTATGTAGAACCATTTGTCAGCCGATGCCTGAATTTAACTGTCATAGAATCAGAGGGTTGGAAGAGTCCTCTGTAGATCATCAACTCCAACCCTCTGCTCAAAGCAGGATCAACCCCAACTAACTCATCCCAGCCAGGGCTTTGTCAAGCTGGGACTTAAAAACCTCTAGGGATGAAGGTCCCCCCACCTCCCTAGGGAACCCATCCCAGCGTGGCACCACCCTCCTAAGGAAATAGTTTTTCCTAATAACCAACCTAGATCTTTCCCGCTGCAACTTGAGATTATTACTCCTTGTTCTGTCATCAGATTCTGAAGGAGACTTGCATGGAAATAGGCTGATTGTTTTTGTTAAGAGTTCTGCTACCCTGCCATCTGAAAGGCTGATCCTCAGTGGTAACCCTGATACCAAGCCTGAGACTGGGACAGCCAATGGATTGTGATTTTGGTTGGGGGATAAGAAGGAGGCGGAGCAGTGGAAACCTCAGGAAGAAAGGCTAGGGTTCTGATGTCCTTTGTAATAAAAGCTGAGAATTTCAAAGGAGCTGAAGTGTGCCCAATTCCTAAGGACTTTCCTTGCGATTTGGGTGCCTAACTCCCTTTGGCCTTTTTGAAAATCCCAGTGGAAGAGCACAAGAAAGGAAATAACGATTTCAAAAAAGCTTTCAGTTTCCTTTCCACTACAACATGGAGCTGGCTGCTGAGGTTCTAAATGCTATTAATGCGTGCCATGCAGAATTACAGTTAATAAATGCCTTTTCTTACCTTTCTCTTCTTTCCTTTGCCAGGGCATAAAAACCTTCATGGAACAGTAAGTACAAGTTTATAGAATTCTTCAGTCTAAGTTAGAGCTGGGCAAATAGTTTGCCACAAATCATTTAGCCTCTTTCCATAGGCAAAGCCGTTTCTGAACAAACGGTGAAAGGCTCAAATGTAGCAGTTCAGAATTATTCGCACATTTCCTCAGAAAATGGTTGCTGGTCTGCCGATTGTTTGCAAACAGCACAATGTAAATATTCAGAAAGCGGAGTCTGTGCTGGGGCCAGGTTGGTGCCATATGGAAATCACGCAGTACATGTACTATTAATCAACAAAGAGTGGGTGTGAAATTCCACTTTCTATTGCTGTTAATTAGTTTTGCCACTGGACATTCCGTTTTGGTGACAATTCAGGTTTCAGATTGGCTCATCCTGAGTATTTGCCCTGCCACAGAATCTGGTATGGGTCACCGCTGAGAGAGACAGTCTCCGGTCAGATTGTCAGTGAAGTGGAAAGACACTCCCTCACTAGCAGCCAACCCTATAATTAGACGTGACCAAACCAGCAGCAAATGTGTACTGGATCACTATCCTCACCACAGAACCACAGAGAGTCCCCTTAGACACCCCAGCCTGTATTCT